GTTTCGATAATGACAAGCTGCTTGTACAGATAATTAATTTCTTTTTAATTTTCCAATAAGTTGAATTCCTCAACGGTTGTAGTACAAGCTAGACTTTCACAAATTTATCATCGGTGGATAAGTTGGAATTTGTTACGTCTGGTTAATTATATGGAGGGCCGTCTGGAGGTTGTATTCTTCAAACTGATGTATTGAGTCAATTAGTGTATTATCATTTGATGTATTGAATCTGATGAACCTCGTATTTCACCATCTACCCTAGGGTTGGAAAACGGTGCGGTCTGGTATATATGGTTTATGGTCCAGATCGAGAGACTGAAGTATAGACCACAAACTATACGGTCCGGTCCAGACCACGCCTGTGCGGTATGGTTCGATTTGGTCTGGTTCAGATAGACCACACTCAACGAAAATGAATAATTTGTTTAGTCAATCACAAAAAAAATTAAACCAATAACCAAGAAAAATAATTGTTATTTTCCTCAACACATTAATCCTAACATGCATGAATAATTTTGATACCTAAATCTTAGTACATAACAAATATACAAAGTAAAAGCATCCCAACTTGCACCATAACGTCATAAACATTAACATAATGTCATATGGAGACACAATTATCTCTACTCACTGGTTATATGTGTTGTGAATGAAGGAGGGACAAGATTCACAAAACTAAGGTTGAGACTTGGGTGTCGTTGTGGGAGTTGGGAGAGTGGTCGAATGGGCTGTTAACATGTATTGACAAGTCAGTTGTGTCCACGGTTTGGTCCGGTAAACTACGGTCTAGACCAAACCAGACCAAGAAATCATAACATAAAATAATGCAGACCATGGACCAGACCAGACCATACTTAACGGTCTACGGTCCGGACCAAACTGTGTGGTACAATGTGGCCCAAGGTTTTTCTAACGGCCTGGTCTATTTTTCAGCGCTAATCTACCATCCTATACACATTGGTAACAAATGGAGCAGCCCAGAGTGATCCCATATGGCACGAGCAACTATACAATCAAGGAACATATGCTCCATAGTTTCGTATGGTGTATAGGATGTAATTATCTATGTTTCAATCAATATATGATTATTTTTTATTAAAAAAAAACACATTGGTAAGTGATGAAAACAAATGAACCACCCGACCCTTCCTCTAAACATAAGTAGTTAGGGATGATCTTGGTTGATGGGGTTTTCCCTTGCTCCAAAGTTAGCACACCATCATCCTTACTCCCTACTAGTACACGTGTACAGAGAAGGTCAAGGTTCAATTATGTTTATTTTTAATTATCTCACACAACTTACTTCCTTTTGCTCATTCACCAACACGTGCAAAAGAGGTAAAAGTGATAGAGTTTACTTGTCAATCCATCTGACCATTCTGCTAAAGTATCCCACTCAAGCAACCAATCACAATTGCCCACTCGGTCCACCTTGAAGAGATAAACAAGGTAAAATGTGTTCCTCTTCTAAGACAACTAATTGGTTGATTGATGTATTGGTTCATTTTATTCCACCAAGCCACCAATATTCACTTCCCCACATCAATACACGTGGGATGAAGAGTAGTTTTCTACTTCTCCACCTACCTATTAACCTTTCCAAGTCTCCACCAATAGTGAGTTGCATGGGTGAATATATTTACCCACCTCCCACCACTTACACGTCTACAGTAGAAATATATGAGGTAAGTGGGGTTCTTTTTCTAATTTTATCTTTAATATGTGTTTGCTTAGCCAACCATCCACTGCACCTAGGGTTAGTTGCGAGATATATGTATTATTATTTTATTTTTTATACGGCACCCACGTTAGGAGCAGGAGGCACCTATAAATAGGACCTTCATTTATGCTTTTTTGGCCGTTCATTTTCCAGCTTGAACTTCTAAATCTCTCTCTAGAACCTGCTCAATACGCCGCTTTCGGTTACTCTCCTCTCAATACTGACTTGAGCTTCGGAGCAGGTCCCCGCCGGCGGTCTTTTGCAGGTGTCCATCTTGGAGGCCGGTGGCGGACGTTGATCACGAAGTCGACGCTCACCGGACCTCAAACACATTGAAACAGGTTCCTCGAAACTTCGCATCAACAGAATCAATTGATGTATTAGGCAAATATATTGTTTGGAGGTTGAGATTATGTTTTTGTTGTAAAGTCATAAAAGTCAATTTTGAGTGATTGTGAAGAATCTCAACAAAAAAGTAGAGACTGATAATCCCCCAATTATGAGTGATTTTGGTGGGCCTCCAAAAAATTAATGCATGTATTCTAGTTTAATATAAGAAAAAAAAACGAATTAATTACATAAATACATTAATTAGCTCAATGAAACTTGTGACAACTTTAGGGTTGGGACAAAGCAGCAAATAGGGCTGGATTTTCGGTTATCTCGGTTATAACCGATAACCGAAATGTCGGTTACCGGTTAACCGCGACGCCAAACACGCCTACCGCCAATCGCCCGACGGAACCCATCGGTTATCCGATAACCGACCAGTCGGCTACCGGTTAGTTGCTCGGTTAACTGAGTTAACCGCAAGTAGGGATGACAATGGGTCAGGTTGAGGCGGGTTTTGTCAAACCCAAACCCAGACCCATGGGTTTATCCGCCAAAAAACCCGGGGTAAAACCCGCTGGGTTTGAAAAACTCAAACCCAACCCAACCCGCTGGGTATCCGCGGGTTCATGGGTACCGTGGGTTTTTGTGGTAAAAAATTTACAATAACAAATTTCTTTCAAAATAAAAGTTTAACATCAATTTTTTCATACAAATTATTCATACAAAAAACACCAATCTAGAACATACAAGCAAACCGGAAATTATCAATACAAATTGTTCAAAATTAAAGATAAACATCTATAAACAACAAGATTAATTGAAATCTTCTTCCTCGTCAAATAAGTTTCTTCACTCTCCACTCCATAATATTAATTTCATTCTAAACAATTAGAAAGAACAAATTATACATGTCTCCACAAACATAAATAATATTAGTTGTTTAAAGAAAATATATTATTTAGAATATTAAATATACTGGGAAAGTAATTATATGTGTGGGCGGGTACCCATGAGGCGGGTTTACCTAAACCCAAACCCAACCCAACCTGGTGAATAGTATAGCGGATTTAAACCCGAACCCGGCCCAAAACCCGTCAACACGGATTTTACCCGCGTTGACCGGTTTGGGTCGGGTGGGTACCCGTGAGTTCGGGTTTTGTTGCCATCCCTAACCGCAAGTTTTGATTCGAGGTCGTGTCTCCTGATTGTTATCCTTATCCATCGCTTTTCTTTCTTTCTGCTCTTCTTGGAACTGCAAAAGAAAACAAAAGGCCGAGAAAATCAAAACCATAAATAGCTTCAGAGGAAAACGAGAATGGCGGTCCAACATGCATCACCTCCACCAGACAACTCCATAGTCCATAAGCAACCTCATGCTCCTATTCCTCCGCCATCTTCTCTCCTCTCCTCATCCCAAAATTCTTCCTCCCCCACCTCTACTCTCGAAGACAGATGGCTCGGCGGACGAACAACGGCGGGGGATTATGGCTGGCGACGGAGGAACGGCGGCGGAGGACTGTGGCTGCGGCGAGTTGTGACTATGGCTGGCGAATCTGGAACGACGGCGGAGGAACGGCGGCTGCTGCTGCTCGTGGACTGGTCGGGGTCTTAGGGAGGAGATGGCGGAGCAGCAGTGGCTAGGCGCGGGTCGTGGAGGGAGATGGCGGAGCAGCAGGCGCCGGGCGCGGGTCGGGGAGATTCGCCTTGGCGTTCGCCGTTCAGCCTGAACGGTTCAGGCAGGGGAGAAGGGAGTCAGGGCAGGCGGGCGGCGACAGAGACTTCTCTTCGCGTCGCGATGCAGAGAAGAGAAGGGAAGGGGATGGGGTGGGCGGGTGACTGTATTTAGGGTTAGGTCTTGACTCTTGCGGCCTCGTTTTACAAAAAATGAGGTAGGTTAGGTTAGATGCGTCGGTTAGTCGATTAACCGACGGTTATCGCCCTCAGTTAGCCGGTTAACCGCCACATCCAACTTCCCTACCGAACACCGCCCGACCACATAATTTTCGGTTAGTCGGTTAACCGATAACCACCAGTTATCGAGGTGGTTATCGATTTAACCGGCCGATTAACCGGCAACCGATAACCGAACCTCCAGCCCTAGCAGCAAATAGTTGGCTATAAAAGCCTATATCTGCTCTATTAAATCAAAACAAAGGGCTTAAAGCTCAGAAGATCATCAGCAAAAAGGAGCTTCATTGTCTAGTTCTAGGAAAAAATCCCAATGTACACACGTTCTTAAAAAAATTTCCCAAAGTACACATGTTTGGCATTCACCGTTTTTGTCAAACGCAGTGAAGATGATCACCGCTTTTGACAAAGACGGTGAATACTTCACCGTTTTAAACTAAAACGATGAAGTATTCACCGTCTCCGACTAACACGGTGAAAGGTTCACCGCGTTTGAATACAACGGCGAATACATCACCGTTTTAGTTTAAAACGGTGAATATATTCACCGTTGTAGGTTAACGCGGTGATCTTTTCCCACGTTTCCCACCCTTGGTAGGTCAAAATTAGGTCACAGCTACCAACTATTCACCGTTTGAGACAAACGCGGTGATGGTGTTCACCGTGTTCGACAAAAACGGTGAATAGTAGGCAAATTTTCCTATAAATAGCACACCACCAGCAGTTGTAAAAACATAATCACTCCCCTTTCTTCAAATTTCAGCAACCAAAATCGAGCATAATACACAGAACAGAAATTTTTCGGTATGTTGAGACTTTTCGTATTATAGTCTAATTATGTTTTTAGTAGTTATAGTATGATTTAATTTTCGTATTATGTTGTTAGTTAGTTAGTTGAATTTATGTTCGTTAGTTATGGTATGATTTAATTTTCGTATTATGTTGTTGTTAGTTAGCTGAATTTATGTTTGTTAGTTATGAGATGGATAATATTAGTTGTACAATATGATTTTGGTTAATTTTACTATCTTTAAGCTAATAGATACTTATTGTAAATTGTAGATATGGTTAAATTCAAGAAGTTTCATCTTACTATTCGGTGGAATGGAAGGGTGACAAACTCTGACATAGGCATTGATTATGAGGACGGCGAATCCATTATGCTGAAAATTGATTCCCGATTCAATTTTTAAGAACTCTGTAATATTTGTGCAGACAGGGTTTGTACGAGCGGACAGACGAGACTTGGAAAAATTACTTACCGGTATCCAGACATGAGTGCTGGCGGGGTCCTGTTCCAAGAAGTTGTCATAAACGATGATGACGCGGTTACGATGATGTTACAGTTCCTAAGCGATAACCAAGTCCGGCTTGCAGAGGTGTATGTTGAGACCGAGGCGGTCGGTGAATCTCATTCTCACCAGTATTCTTATGATGATGGTTTTGCAGGAGGGTACGGATGGGGTGGTAGTTCGAGCAACTACGAAGGCGGTGGTTATACAGGAGGTTACGGGGAGGGTGGTGGTTCAATCAACTACGGTGGAGGTAGTAGTGCAGGATGAGTGCCATCGGAAGAATACTCGCAACCTCCTCAACCAGCCCCATTTGTTGAGGCTGATGGTGTTCAATGGCCTGCTTGGGGGCCAGAGTGGTCTGAAATCGAGAATACCATTCGATCAGGACGTACTTCACATGAGCGAGAAGACAATGTTGGTGATTGTGGTCATGTTGATCCTTCTGGCCCGAGCTATCCATTCGAGTCGAGCGACGAGGATACTGAGGAAGATTTGAGATCAGTGAGCGAGGAGGAGGAAGATACTTATGATAACGAGGATGAGGCGACATTTCGTGAGGCACCCACGCCATATTACACACAGGTTCCAACTCAATTTTTACATAGTCGGAATGATCCCCCGACTTTGTCCCTATGCCAGTGTACAATCCGACGGCCAATTTGGAGGTGGGTATGGCGTTCACATCGATCGTCACGTCTTTGAGGGTGATCGTCATTTCCCCCTCTGGAAGGTGGAATGTATGGGTTTCGGGATGCCATCGTTCCGCCATTGCCGTAAGCAGATCGTTGTCGATTTCGATCCGCAAGAATACCCCGCGTTGGTCCACGTCAGCGATCCGCGTCTATTCACCGTGGATCATTAAAACGGTTTTCTGTTCACCGTTTTTGATCAAAACGGTGATGCATTCACCGTTTCTATTTAAAACGGTGATTTCTTCACCGACGGTGACGTATTCACCGTCTTTGACAAACGCGGTGATATTGCGTTTGTCAAAAACGGTGATGCTCAAACATGTGTACTTTTGGAAATTTTTTTATAACTTATATATTTTGGAAATTTTTTTTAATGTACTTTGGGATTTTTTCCCTAGTTCTACAACAGCAAGTTGAAGGGTGAAAAAATAAGGAATGGCCGAATGGGTAGTGAAGTTGAAAGCGGTCTGGAAGATATATTGAAGTCTTTGTTGGAGCAGCTTCAGGCGGCATGCGTGATTTTTGAGAGATTTGTTTATAAGAACAAGAACCAGCACCGCGGATGCTCCTATTTCCAGTACCTCCAAAAGGTAACAGGCTCTCTTTCGGCTGTCAATCTTTCGATTCCGTGTTTCGATTCGTGAGAAAAAGAAAGCTGAGTGGCAACACATGCGACTCGGCTCTGAAACTTTTCATAACCAGGTGTTGTTTTGTATCCTTATCGAGGTTGTTGATTTCGTGTTGTTTACTTGGCGGTGATGTTAGGTGAGAAGGGATTTAAGGCTTGTGGCTTCTTGCTTCCATGTGATGTGATCACTGGCAGGAAACCCAAGCAAAAGATGTATCTGCTAGAGAGGTACTACTTCATAACCCATCCACATTGTTTTGGGGACCCCTTATCTTTAATTGATGGATTCCCGCTTTTCGGATGATGATTTGGAAATGAAGATGGTTATAATTGCATCTAGATTTTTGTCAGTTGGCAGCCTTGTGATTGGAGTTCACTTCTTTTCCTGGGAAGATTATTCAAAGAGAAACTATCAGTTATGGAACTTTTCATCTACATTAGTGGAAAGTGCTCGTTTTCTTTCTCTCGTGCGGTTTGGAGATCATCAGTGTTATCCATGCTTGGAATCTGAAGAGCTGATCATTAGTTATGCTATTCTTGTAGGATTTTGAAAATTGTCTGACCATCTGTTAAATACCCTTATCAATTTGGCATCCTTCTTTCTTCAAAAGAGATTGTGTGATTAAATGACAGTGGAAAGACTTGGAATTCTCAGTTGTTTTACGTAATCAGTAACCGAACCATGTCTCGCAGCTTGAAGTGGAGGCAAAGTGTCTCTGGAGTACCAAATTTTTTGGAGAGACTTCTGGGAGCTGCACGCTTACTGTCACAGGTGATGTCTTGCCTTCTTGTACAGGAACCATATTCCAGTTCCCTGAATGCAGCACATCTTTTGTTGTCATGGGTTTTGTCCTGAAACTAATTAGTCAGTTTTGTGGTTTTGCAGATGGTTGAGCCAATTTTGAAGGCAGCTACGTATCCAGTTTGTCTAGTTATTAGGATATAATTAAATTAACCGGTCTTGTTTTACTGGTTCACTTCAACCTCTTTGTAGCACCCAACTCTAATTGCATTTATCATGCTTGTATCCATGTCACTGTACTTGTCATTTCTTTACTCAGGTCTGATTATCTGGATCTATTGCCAGTTGTTGATTGAATGATATCTTCTTTTCAATCGGTATCCTTGACAACTTAGCAGTGAGGTATCTATTTTGCTTGCACGCTCTTTCTTCATGGAATTTTCCATGGCAGTTTTGGCACTGCTTGCACGACTTTGAGTTTTGGTTCGGCAGGTAAGTGCTTACTTATTCCATGTCAAGCAGTAGAATAAGAATCTGCAACTCCGTAAGTGACAAATGCAGTTAAAATCTTTTCCATCAATAGCACATTTCTTGTTGACTGTAAAACAAGTATAGCACAGTCTGCACTCATTTTGTTTCCTTCTACAGATATTACTTAATGTTGCTTCATTGTCCAACACCGTGTCTTCGCTCGCCCAGAATAAGCAGTCTGTGAAAATAAATAAGAAAGGAATAGATGTTGGCAGCCCCACCTGTGTTTTCCGTACCTTCATGATACAATAACAATTGAATCACTATCCTTTTCACTGAAACCTCCTCTTCTCCAGGTATTTCGAGAGTACTATCCAAGGAAAAGGAATTTATCACCCTAGAGTGTGTTTGGGAAGGAGATAAATTTGTGTTGCTCGAAAGAGTACAGAAAACTGACGTAAAAGAAAATTATGAGACCATAAAAGATCCCAACAATTGAAGAACGGCTATACGGTATCGAAGCATTCAGGCATTTCTTAGAGGTAAGCTCCTCTATCTTGGTGTGTAAAAAGTAAAAACTGCCGCCTTGTTTTGTTTACAATTTGAACGATTTAATTATGGATCTGTCATTTCAGAGATTACTGATAATGGCGGTGACATTGAAAAGATGGAAGTAGATCATCCCGACAAAGAAGGCTCTTCTCTAATGAAGAAAGATGAGGACTTGTCAGCTGGATCTCCAACTCAGAAAGAGATTGAACATCAGAAGCAAGGTAATAGCATCGAGATGGGAGATGATTTACCAGTTGGAGCGAGTCCTGGAAAAGGAATTAATCCGAATGCAACCTCAAGCGCTTTCCCAGATGCAACAACATCCATACCATATTCCAGTAGTTCAAGGCAAGTGACATTTGTTTCAGTGTAAAGGCCTGCTGCACCTCCAGCAGCTGCTGCTGATGCATCCATAGCTGTTAAAAGGCCTTCAACTTCAACTTCAACTTCGAATGTGACCACCCCAGGGCTTTCAAGGGGTAGTGAAAAGGAAGCAGATGGCATGGAGGATTCGTTTTTCGATTTGCTTACTGCTGGTGGAAACCTCAAGAGTCTCTTTTGATCCTAACACCTTGAACTAACTTATAGTTCATGTGTATAGAGAGGTTTGTGATGTAGGGAAGCAAAATGTTTCGATACTGTCAGTTTAGAGCTAGCTAATGACCCATCACTGGCGAGGCGAGGATGTAAATATTTCATCCTCTCCAAACAAACATATCAATGGGATTGGTTTCCCGCGATTTTGTAGCCATTATTAGAAGAAATGAAATTGAGAGAAAATTCAGCTGTGAATTCCAATAAAGGATGGAGTCAGAAACTGAAGAAAGCACAACAATTGGCGGCAAGTCAAAATCAAGAAGCAATTGGTCGTTGGGTGACCCTGTAAAACGATCTCATTTGGCTGTAAAGTAAATAAGTAATGCATATTTGTAGAAGGATCGGTTTGGGTTGGTTGGTTTAGGTGGGTGGGGTCAATGATGCGAGACTGTAAGTAGGGATGTCAATCCAACCCATAACCATGAGTACCCTACCCGACCGTAACCGGTCAACGAGGGTAATTACCCGCTTTGACGGGTTAAGGGGCGGGTACGGGTAATACCCGGTTTCAAAATAAAGGGTAGGGTACGGGTATGGTAATCGATAATACCCGCCCCGTTATACCCGCCCCGTTACTAAAGGGTCAATTTCCCTTGAGAAATTTAGTTTAGCTTGAGAAATTTAGTTTAGCTACCATTATTGATGATGATGTAGACGATTATTATGTTTGTGTGGATTGTAGAAGCAAGAACAATTATTATATTTTTGTTGTTTTTATTTGTGTGGATTGTTGAAACTAGAACAATTAGAAGTATTGAGAATTTTTAATGGACAACAGTACGTATGTGCATATATGTGTATAAGTTCATAGTTTAGGATTCGTACCCATGGTTACCCGAATACCCGTGGTTACCCGGTGGGTAGGGTATGGTTATATAATTTTCATACCCGGTGGTTATTTGGTCGGGTATTTTAGAAAGCTCTACCCGGCGGGTTAGGAGTTGGTATAGGGTAAACCCGCACCCGACCCTACCCATTGCCATCCCTAACTGTAAGAGATGATTCATGAAACATTATTAGCGAGTGGCGCATGGTGTGGGGTCGAATTACTGTCGACCATCCATACTTTCTCGTCTGAGGGAGACGCAGAAAGAACAGAACAAGGGGAACAAAAAAAGCTGCAGGGCCAGGAAAGGAAAGAGAGCTTCCAAATGGTATTCCTTATTCATCAAATATCATCTTCCTCACTTCTTGTTCGGCAATGCTCCATCAACAGCAGCAGCAGCAGCTCTTCTTCTGCTACTCCTCCTTCCTTCTTCCCATTCCCCAGGTAAGTTACTAACTCTCTGAATTATACCTAGTTCTTTGATTTCAGTCTCTCACTTCAAATCCGTTTATAGCTTTCTTCTTTTGATTCCCAGGGTAGGATTACCTACCGGCAACATGGGTTTCAGATGCTCCGCCGAGAACCAACCGAGCACAAGCAAGGCTGTGATCGTACGGCATCTGTTATCTGGCCTTGCAGCATCATCATTGCTTCTCTCCCAACAACCTTATGAGGTGAATCTTATCCCCCTTTAAGAGTTGAGTTTAGCAATTTACACTACTGGGCTGGGTCCATCATGGAAAGTATCACTGTCAATCTAATTGCGAGTTTGAACCATACAGATTCCTATCATTAAACTGAGCTGTAAAATTGCAGGGTCTTGCAGCAGGAGACAAGATCACTCTCCCAATTGAGGAGACCTCTTCTGGAGATGGGATGCTGATGAAGATGAGGGGTATGAGTGCCAAAAACTTCGACCCCGTTAGGTATTCGGGGAGGTGGTTTGAGGTAGCTTCCCTCAAGCGTGGATTTGCTGGACAAGGCCAGGAAGATTGCCACTGCACTCAGGTAAAACTTCCACTGCATAGTTCCATTTTCAACTTTCAAGTAATGGTCTTTTCTTTTTCCAACTCATGATAACCATATGGACAACAGGGGGTTTACACGTTTGATATGGAGGCACCAGCCATCCAAGTGGATACATTCTGTGTCCATGGAGGCCCCGATGGGTACATCACGGGGATAAGAGGGAGAGTGCAGTGCATCCCCGAGGAAGATTTGGAGAAGAACGAGACAGATTTGGAGAAGCGAGAGATGATCAGAGAGAAATGCTACCTTCGTTTCCCAACACTGCCATTCATCCCCAAGGAGCCTTATGATGTCATCGCTACTGATTATGACAACTTTGCTCTTGTTTCTGGTGCCAAAGACAAGAGCTTTATTCAGGTAAAAAAAAAAACCAGTCTCCAAACAACCAACTTTGGCTAATGAAGCTCATATTGTAGACCAATCTGATTGTGTTGTTGTTGGTTTCTGATCTATCCACAAGATATACTCGAGGACGCCTGACCCTGGGCCGGCGTTCATCGACAAGTACAAGACGTATCTGGGGGAATTCGGGTATGATCCAAGCAAAATAAAGGACACCCCGCAGGACTGTGAAGTGAAATCAATGGGGGAGCTGTCGGCGATGATGGGGATGCCAGGGATGCAGCAGGCTCTAACAAATCAGTTTCCTGAACTGGGGTTAAATTCTTCAGTTGAGTTTAATCCATTTACTAGTGTGTTTGAGACATTGAAGAAGCTACTTGAGCTCTACTTCAAGTAGAAACTCCTTTGCTTTTCAATATTTTCTCCTTTTTTAAATGGAGAAAAAAAGTGCACTGTGTTAATTGTTATTTCTGTCATAAAGCGTGTTCGGTATATGAATATGATGAAGTCCATCTTGATATATAAGTTTCAACGAAGGGATGAATATGACCAAACTGTCAAGTGTAGGCAAACCAAGGGGACATAAACAGTGGTGGATACTTGGCCGCAACATCCCTAAAATTTGGGAAAATGATTATCCAACTCTAGAGGTGGCAATTCTCAATCCAATCCACTAATCCATTAAAAATATCCACCTAATCCAATCCATTTAAATCCAATCCATTTGATCCAAATCCAATTGGATTGGTGGATTCATGGATCAATCCATGGATCCAAATGACAAATTACGTTTTGGTACCTATACTTTTTATATTTTACATTTTGGTACCCAAAATTTAAGTTTTTATGCAAAAAATATCATTGGAAATTACGTTTTGATACCTAAATTTTTTAATTATGACATTTTAGTAATTAAACTTTTTCACGTTTTACATAATGGTCCTTGGTTGAATATGTCATTTGGATTCATGGATAATCCACCAATCCCCTTGATCTAATCCGAATCCACCAATCCATTTGATCCATAGATCCACCAATCCAATCCTCCAATCAATGGATCCAATCCATTTGCCACCTCTATCCAACCCCGTTAGTAGTTTCGTATGGATAAAAAAAATATAATTCGTAATCCGAGACACCCTTAAATTTTGAAAAAATGATTATCCTGTCCTCAGTAGTAGTTTGTGTATGATTAAAATTATATAAGCAGTACTCTGTGTTATTCAAATCTAGGACACTACTATTATTATACATATTCTCTAGCTTGCAACTCATTTGTTGTTCTATTTTAAACAATATGTAATAGTAAAAATACTATTCTTTATTCCCATTGTTTTCAAAACCTAGCAATTAAACACATTCGAGCTATGCTTAATTTGAATTGATTTTATAGGTATATTGCAAGAGTTGAAAGAGTCTTTCAAGTTTGAGTTACATCAGGAACAAGGTTAGAAATCGAATATGCGATCAGTTCATGAATTATTATCTAATATGATATACTTGCACTAGTCAAATATTTTTTATTTATTAATGATTTAATTTAATTTTTAATTTACTTTAATTTTTGGAAAATGACACCTCTATAAAAAAATTCTGAATTCGCCACTGGACATAAAGTCCTAGATGTCTTTGCGACATAAAGAGGAGGACATGATATGATGATGTCTAAATGACTTGTAGGATATGTTCATGCGGCTCTTGTCTGATTATTTTGACTGGTGTATGAGAATCATGTAAGAAAACCAGTGTTGTGAAAGCAGAGCCGGCCGGCCGAGTCGCCAAAACCGCCAATCGGGCACAAAATCGGCCCGGATAAGCTATTTAGCTGGACTGGTTCTTTGGGGCGGCCGGCGAGCGGCCGAAGCGGTTAACCGCTCGAGTCGGTCGTCCGATTTTTCACATTGGGCTGGTTGGTTTAATTAAAAAAAATTGAAAACTAAAAACCAAAAACTAAAGAACGAAAATTAAAGGGGAAGGTGGGTCGGGCTGTCTGATGTTGCAGAACCCTAATTCCCAATTTCTCCATCTTCTTCTTCGTGGAGACAAGGAAGTGTCGCTTCCAGTCTGAACTCCAAATCCCAGCGTCGGCGCCGTTCCCTGTCTCCATCGCCGTCTTCCCCAGCTGTTCCCCGTCTTCCCCAGCCGTTCCCCGTCTCCATCGTCGTCTTCCCCAGCGCATGTGACTCGTCGCCATTTTCTTCATCTTCTTCGTCGCCTGTGACCCGTCGTCATCGCCATCTTTCCCAGCGTCGTTCCCCGTCGCCATTTCCCTCCGATTTGGGCGAGCCCCTGCCGGCGAGTGCCCCGGTGAGGTCTCCCTTCCCTTCCCCGGTCACTGCCTCTCCTCTGCACCGACTCCTATTGCACCGACCCCTGCTGCCCTCCCCTCACCGGTAAGTGTTTGTGACTGTGTTGCTGCTGTGAGCAATTTTGTAATTGTTTATGTTGCTGTTTGTAATGATTTATGTTGCTGCTGTCCCATTTAATTTGTAATGGTTTATGTTTATGTTGCTGCTGTCCCATTTAATTTGTAATGGTTTATGTTTATGTTGCTGGTTATGCTTCTGCCTCGTGTTTAATGTTCAGACTCGTGTGATATTGCTTTTATTTTGGAACAATGTAGTGGTTTGGAATTGAATTTTAGATCTTTCAGTACTGATGTTCTAGAATGGTTTAAGAGAGTAATTTACTTATGATTTACCATGATTAAGAAGTGTCTACTATTTATACAGATGACTGATTATTAGGTACCGGTTCTCAAACGGTTTTTAAATGGTCTAATGCGGGCTGGACCACTAAAGACCGAGCCGTTCACGTTACCGGGTCATACTTCGGTTCGGTTCTGACAACATTGAAGAAAACAAAACTTTCATGTTAGAATCTAATAATTTCATAAAAAAACTAAAAACTCGTAAAGGTCCTACTGCCTATTTACATATATACCATTCAATGCCATGAATTTATTATTTATTCGTGTTCATTTGGATCAAATACACAATAGGGTTAGTGGGATCCTGTTCAAACTTTTACTTTGTAAACGAAATAGGTGATTTTGATGAAAAATTCAGTTGGACTAGTGTGAGACTGAAAAATCTCTTAGATTAATTAAATGGAACTCGTTATTACGTATATGTAACACAACTCCTAAAAACTTTATACAACTCATAAACAACTCATGTGATTTCATCGAGAGCTCCTT